TTTTTATACTAAAAGTGAATAAATTTTAATGAAACTTATATTAAATTAAAGTACACTCTTTCATCTACGTGTAGAATACCATATCGAGTTATAAATTTAGCATGTAAACTTCATTAGATGTTAGAGAATGAAATGCTGTAAATTGTGCATCTTTGCAATTTCTTTGAATATTTTCGGTTAATATTTTTTATACTTTTTGCAAATGGATTTTAATGATTTTTCTATTAAATTAAAGTACACTCTTCTGTCCACGCGTAGAATACTTTTTTGGGTTATAAATCGATCTGCAAAGTATCTTGTATTTTTGTATTTTTTTTTTTTAAGTAATAATAAATTACAGACACATGTTAATTTGTTTTTAAAAGCACTTGTGCCTAGACTGACTATCGTGCTTGTGCTATTGTTACTAGAGTTATGTCGGACCACCCTGTATATATATAGAGTACCGGTCTCGTATTTATTTAATAATTTTGTATATAAGGATAATAAAAATTCAAAAGACGCAAATAAGATGATGAGGAAACAAAAATACTTACGATGAGAGCTGCAACAGCGTCATCCATATTAAGTAGTTGAATTAAAGCCATCTTTCTGTCCTTTGGAAAGAATTTGAAGGCCTTGACGTTAAATCCATTTTTACTAAAGGCATCTTTGATCTCTTCTTCGGTTACCGTAGCTCTGTTTATTATATAAAAAAAAAAAGAAAAAAGTGAATTAATTCAATTTCAAAAGAAAACAAAACAAAACAAAATATCAATTTTCTACATTTTATAATATTATTATTCCATATAGGGTACATACATACATACATACATACATACATATTTAAAAAGATATTATACGAGAGAAACGTGAAAGAAAAAAAAAGAAAAAGAAAAAATTGTTTTTACTTACGGAATGTTTGATAAATGCAAAGTGGAACTCGGTGGATAGATATTTTGATAATTTTTAGAGCCAGGTTTTTTGAATCTATGAAGAGGACTGCTCGTATAATCCTTGGTTAATCCTGCATCCGGTTGACCTTCCTTAGGTAGTTGAACTGTTTGATGTTTGCTTAGCACAACTTTGATTTGCTTACCAAATACTCTTAATTTGTCCATATGGGTGATCGCTTGATAATGCAAAAGAAAAAAATAACACGCGACGTTTAGTGTATTATAAAAGATAATAATAATTTATTAACAAATAAAGGAATATGACGAATGATAATGCAATATATATTATTGATAAATAAAATAATTACCTAAATGCGCTTGATGAGGTTCGGCCATTTGAATCAGTGCCGAGTCCTTTTTGTTGTAAAGTATCTTCACACGTTGTACATCCCCGTAAACACCTACACGCACAACATCGATACATTTTACATAAACTTTTTAACATAGCCCCCCACCTTAATAAGACAACAAAATTTATAATATTCTTTTCGTTCATATAAATAAACATATATATATATATTATATTTATACATTTTTAAATCGAAGTAATTTTTTTTTATTTTCATTTTCTTTCTTTCTTTCTTTCTTTCTTTCTTTAAAGAGAGACAGCATCTAAGGATCGCCAAGAAGATTAGATTTAAAATGGGGATAAATTAAAAAAAAAAAAAAAGAAAAAACACAAAAATAAAGGATAAAAAAAATAAGAAGAAATATTGCTCGATCGATAAATTATAGGATACGATCAATCCATACTAAGATTTGGGACATGCAATAGAGGCAAACGACTCGAGTCTAATCTTACGCTAGATAAATACATATGTGTATATATATAGATAGATAAAAAGATAGATAGAAATATAGATATATGTATAGATAACATTAATTTGGAAGAGTTTAGTTCAAGCAGCTAACGAATCGGAAAATCATTTTTGTAGGAAAATGTACGGTGGTAATAATACTTGGAAAATTATTATTGATTTTTTTTACTTATTATTTATTTTTCTTTTAGTCAGTGTATGAAAAAATACAGAGATATATATATATATATATATATATATATATATATATAGAAAAGGATTGAGAAAGAGAGAAATAGAGAAAGATATAGTGAGAAATTGAAACAAGAGAGAGATAGAAAGAGAGAGAGAGAGAGAGGAAGAAATAAAAAAAAAAAGAAAAAACAAAAACAAAAAAGGATCATCGATCGAATAAAATTTGTATTCCAAAATTCGCGGCGTAAGAGTCAAACCGAGAGTCGTATTACCTCGAATGGGGAGGAAAAGGGAGAAGAACGACTTTTGTTTTATTTATTTATTTATTTATTTTTGTATATTTTTGTCTTTTTTCTGTCTTTTTTTTTTTTTTTATATATTTATTTTCTCTCCAATTCATTTCTCTTTCGTTCTTTTTATTTTTTGTATCTTTATGTTTTTTAATTCCCTTTTTTTTTTTTTTTTTTTTTTTTTTTTTTTTTTTTTTTTTTTTTTTTTTTTTTTTTTGATTTTATTTTCTATATGGAATTACGTAAATAAAGCGAAAGCTTATGTAAATATTAAAAGAGAGAGAGAGGGTGGTTGTTGGTTTTCTGTGT